AAGAAACCTTCCTCAGAGGAGATGGGAGTAGTCTTGATGCTGCCCAAGCGAAGGATAGAGTCACCTCCTGACAAAGGCAAACACAACTTTGGCAAGCAAGGTGTCATCAGATAGGTTTAAGTCAAAACTAGCCAAGGGGATAATGAGCTATGGAAAGTCCTGTTCCTTTGGTGATGCAGGCTGTGTTTTCACAGTGGCTTAAAGCAGAGGCAGTGCAATCCTATCTCCCTTCTCCCTCTTTTACACCTGCAGTACAGCCAATTTGATCCCAGAGTAAGACGACTCAGGTCACTTACGCAACAGAGAACTGAACCAAAACCCCCAATGTTTTCCATCAATTACATAAAGAGAATGGCTTTTCACAAATGCAAATGAGCACCAGTGGTGCTCACCAGTGAAGGAAGAGCCAGAAAAAAGCCCAGGGAGATTAATCACACCTGCAAGCAACATCAGATGGCAGTGAGTGGCATCCCTATTCCTGCTCATGCAATCCCAGTCCATGCACATTCATGCTATTTTTCTCCATCAATTAGTAAATTTGACTCTCTAACTTCAGAGAGGGTTGCTTTCTAGTCTAAGGAATCTCATAAAAAATTAAATAACTTATTTTCATAACTCTTTGTGCCACTGGGTGTCACAAGAGTCAGTTTTCTGGAAGAGGAAACTAACAAAATTTTCTGGCAAAAACTTGAAGTCTTGGCTTGTGTATGCTAATCTGCACTGCACACACTATGCTGCTAGAGGCTTGGGGAGAAAACCTCATTCCAGAGGCTTGTGGTTCAATGAACGTATCAGCTAAGCCACAGTGACAGGTATCAGCCAGCCATGAAGTGCATCTGCAGTGCCAGAAAGCTCAGCTGTGGCTCACAGGTTCTAAAAAGAACCAGGAGAAAAACACTATCCCCAAAAAGTGGAAGCACACACTACTTGGAAGATGACTCAATTATGCCAAGCAGTTAGCTGGATTTTGACTTAGTGATATGCTGGCTCTATTTATTCATCAGATTTATTGTGAAGTATATTAGAGTCACCATATCTAACATTGCAGCACAGAATTTTCATAGAAGATGGTGACATGGGAAAGACCATTACTACAGAAAAGATAATGCTAAGAAAATCTTAGTGAACAGCAGCAAATACTGAGAATAACTGAGGGCTTTGTCAGTCATTTAAAAATGCAAGTTTATAGACATACAACAAAGGACAGGTTAAAATGTTTCATGGGGTTTTCTAAAATATGAGAACCACAACAAACAAACGAAGTCCAGACTTTTTAAAACAGCTTTGCACAAGCATGTGATGATCCTTGTTTTAGTTTGGGCATGAGAGCTTCACTGTTCCAACAGATCCTGAACTACAGGATGTCTTGCATTGTTTCCAAGCAGTTTGGGTTACAGCAAAACAACAGAGCAGAACAAACTGTTACTAGCAAGAACTGGCTGGAACAAGCTGTGACAATTAAAAAATTTCCCATCTGAAAAAGCAAAAATTCACTGATTACAAAATGAAAAGCAATGCCCCTACTGTTACTACCCTGGTAGTGTAGCTTTTTTTCCTAGAAGAAAACATGAATACTGCTATGGATATGCTTCACAAAACTTGATCTCATGACCCAGTAAGGTTGCTGTTTTACAGAACTCAAAATAGCAGCTTTGTTTCTGTGCCAGGGGAAAAAAAAATGGGAAAGTTATGTACTTTTTTTTTCCTTTAGATGCTAGAAAATGACAGACATAGTTCTTTCATCTTACTTCCAACAATGTGTGCTGAACCAAAATATTTCTTATTTGGTAAACCTAGACATTGATTTAATGTAAAACAGGACAGAGAAGGTAAAAAAGAATGCTGCATATAATTCCATATCATTAAAATTGTTGTGATCCAACTGTATGTACTTGCACCATCAGAACTCCCCATCTACCCCTGTCCTTAGACTGTCACCAGCTTTACAGTGAAAAAATACAGCCCAACATTGTGCTTTACACAGTGGCACATAGTGCTCTTAAGACACACCTGAAATCCTACACAAGTTCACTACTGCCTGCCTTAACAGGATTGCTGTGTTAAGAGAGGCTCGTGAGTGAAGACTGGCCACAGTGACCACAGAGCCATCGAGTTTAAAATCTCTGCTGAGAGGAGGAAAAGTGCCAGCAGAACTTCAACTCCAGACATGAGGAGAGCAGGCTTCAGGCTACTCAGGAAGCTAATTAGGAAGGTCCCTTGGGAAAATGCCTTTGAACACCTAAAGGATGTGGTCATGATCGCAGCCAGCACAGATTCATGAAGGGAAAGTTCTGCTTGTCACAGCTGATTTCCTTTTATGACAAGGTAACCCACCAAGCTGATATGGGGAAGCCAGTTGGTGCCAGTTGGATTTCAGTAAAGCTTTCCATTCTGTCTCTCACAGGATCCTTCAGGACCAAATGTCCGGCACACAGCTGGTTAAACACATCACGGGATGGGTGAGCAGCTGGCTCCCCATTGGGCTACTTCTGCTTATAACACATATCATTACTTTCTTTGGGGCCCTTTTACATGGAGGGAGGGAGGTTACTCATAAGAAATCCAGATGATTTTCAGAGTTCAATAAATACTGATTTACCTAGGCTGACTGCATGTACATGGCGTTTGCATCCTTACACTACACCATAGATAAAGAACACTGGTAATGTAATGTGGACAGTTACAATGCTGTGCAGAGCCAGTCCAAATTTAGTACAGGTAACTCTGATGTGGGTCTGGTATGCAAGTAAATTTTTAAAGGCTCCTATTCCTATTTAACTACCTGTGCATTCACACTGTAACTGCATCTGCCAGTTTTCAGCACTGGCACATGAAACCACAAACACGTGGAGCAATCCCAAGTCTGGTATCACTCTTTATAAGCTCTACCCAAACTAGAAGCACCAGGATCGTACCACGCATACTCCAGTTTCTTTTTGAAGTGCCAGGCTTGAAACAGCAGGCGATACCAGCTACAGCTCAGCACCAGCCACAGCTGTACAGCTTGATTGCAGGTGATACCTGCTCCAGGGTGTGAAGAATGTAATAATGTATTATGTGTAATACATGGGGGTTTCCCATTCGGTCAGGTATCCCCACCTGCATTGCTACCTTATCTTCAGTAACAAAAAGCTTTGACTAAAACCAGAAAAATCCCCGTTATTAATATGAAAAGAGAACCATGAATTTTCTCTATAGGGCAAAATACTAGCAAAAATGTCATTTCAATTGCTGTGATTTTAACTTTGCTTATTAAAAAAAGGCAACATTCACATTTAATATATTGTAAACAGATTATTTCATCATCTCTGAATACAAGATGGGATGGTCTGTATTGCAAAATAGGCAAGATATGAACAAACACCCGCTGCTATCAGAACCACCACCTGAGTCATACAATCCCATACAAGCTCCAAAATTTAGAATTAAAGGACTTGCAGGGAATTTTGATACTGAATACTATGCAAATGCGCTCTAGTCATATGGATATGATTGTCACCTTCCCTTTTTGTTCAAGAAGTCATTAGTGATGTTTTCCATAAATTATTAAAGCTGAACAAACTAATCAATGCATGATATTTTGTGGCAGACTAAATGACGACCTAAGCCGACTCAAGTTCCAGGTTGTAATACAACTGGAGTATTAGGAAGAAAGGCCCTAGGGGTTTTCAGAAACTGAGCTATCACTGGCAGCTGAAACAACACAGACCTTTCCAAATGTGCCATTAGCTGCACAAATGGGATGATTGTTGCACAAACCCATACAGAATTCTCAGACAACAACCCAAAACCAGAAGCAGGGGTGATTATCTTACCTACATTACACAGTATAACATGAGGGAAACTGAAATTTGGAGGCACAAATAGAAATCCAAAAAGCTTTGTGAAGTCCACAATTCACTATATATCTGAACCTCCTCATCTCAGCTATCATATAAGGTTAGCATTATCATTTATTAAAGCCACCAAACACAGAATTGCAGCTTCTTTACTACAATGAACTTGAAAAATACACATTCAAGGGGTTTTAACTGTAAAGCACAGAGAAAAAAATTAACCAATCTGTTTCTGACAACTTATGAGGCCTTTCCCAAATCAAACAGAATTTTGGAATAATTAAAGCCAATAGAAGAAGAGCACAGCAGAGGAATGAAAATAAGGAGTTATGCTGTATTAACTTGGCATTCTTTCAAGAAGACTTCTGTACAACAACTAAAACTGGCGGTTAATCTTCCCTTTCTCCTTAGTGCCTCCTCCCTCACAACTTCATCATCTCCCTATTTACTGCTGAGGCTGGGACATCTTCAACTGAAGCAATTTTCTTCACCTTCAAGTTTTTGCAGTCTCATCTCCAAATCCAAAACCTCTGAAGGAGCAAGAATTGCTTCCTAGAGACATTCCTGTTGATGGACTTTGTCTATTGGTCCTGTCTAGCCCCAGCATTGTTTCTGGCACTGCCCAAAGCCTCAAAATCTGATAGGTGACTAACCCAAAATCTCAAGGTACACTACATACAGAATATTTTCCCTAAATAAATAGGAATAGTGGCTTTGGAACCACTTAATTATAGATGATCTCTCTTAAATCCACTACATGCACCACAACTAAATCAATCCAAAGGCCTGGACTTGGACTCACAGCTTTTTCCTTCTGCTTTTGCCCTCTATCCTCATATAAACCTGAGCAAATAAGGTCTTCCTACCTTCACTACAATTAAACCAGTAATGCTGTACATGCTTTCAACATCAGGCTATGGAGAGAATGAATGTGAATGCAAGAATTATCTTAAGAGACACACACACGCCACAAAAACTGATATTAACTTAACACAAAGAGCCAAATAGCTCAGATGAAAAATACAGCTGAGAGCATAAAGTTTCTCTTAAAATACAATTAAAAGGCAAGGAATTACCATAGAAACACTAAAAGTCATCAAGTATTTTAATGACAATTTCATAGAATTGGAAGTTTAAAAAATAACATTAAAAGGAGACACTAAGGATTTCAAAAACCTCTGTTTTATTTGTACAGAGTAAAATACATCATATAGTGAGCACTGTTTTCCACCCATAATCTAAAACCATTAAGTGTTTTCTTTTCACCAAACATCCTGGCCAGAAGCACAGACAATGGAAACGGGAATGCTAATTAGTCTCTCTCTGCCAGAGCTACAAGGTGCACATCAATCTCTGCTTCTGTAAGGATCCTGAAAGAACAAAAAGAAATCTTAAATAGCTTATATGATTCTTCCCCTTAAACTCCAATATTACAACCTAATATCTATACAAATAAGTTCTACAGCAATGCATCTTTCTGCCCTTTAAAGCCCTGCTGCCAGTGCCACAGGCTGATATTCCAATTCTCCTGAAAAATAAAGGAAGAATCAGTGGCACTAGAGAGCAAGGAGGTAACACATGATAGAAAAATAACAGGTAATACTTCATGAGTAATGCATCTGCAAATTGAGATCTAGTGAGAAGGTAGCTGGATCCCTTGAGTGGCAGCAGAAAAGAGGTCAAGCAGCTCCTGTGTGCTTTCTCACAAACACGGTTCTATTCTGTTGTCCTCAGCACACACCACCAAATTCAAAACCACCCATCATCACCGTGCCCACCTTAAAAACATTAGGAAGGAAGCACTTAAAAGACTGAACCTTTAGGACCCAAAGGTTTGAAGCCTCTCTTCAGTCTCCATTTACCAAGTAGTCAGACTAAAGTAACAGCAGACATTATTCCAAATTTAACTGTTCCTCTCTTTCTTTTTAAATAAAAAACCCCAATGAAAGACCAAAGCAGAAAAAGTGAATCCCTCTGCAGCAAGCAAGACTTACCTAAACTTTAGGTAAGCCATACCTGGAGAGTTCTTTTGCATTATAAAAAAATCCCCAAAACTGTTTCTCCTACATCTCATGCACACTTATGCAGCTATAACTGTGCTGTGAGAAGGCTGTCAAGTACACTGTATCTAGTGTGAAGCTTTCCTGCCCTCAGCAGGAAGACTTCCAGGTGTTGATACACTGGCCAAATAATCTTGGTGCACACACTGTGCTGCAGGCAATAAGGGAGGAGGGAAGAAATAGCAGGTGCCTTGCTTTCATGCTAGATGGGAATGCAGAGTAGTCGGAAAGTAGACAGTTCAGCTATTTTCAAATCATTAGTGATTTTTTAAACCCATGACCTTTTAGTCATACCGAATTTAAATAGAGTTTTTCAAACCACACAAATCCATAATCTATTAAATACATATTTTAGATGTTAAAAAATGCTAACATTTAAAAGACGAGCAAGAATAAATTAAAGATTCAATTTAGAAAAAGAATGAAGAATTTAAGGGACTTGTAAATATTCCCTAATATAAACCAGACTTTACTGCATTAGTTAGCATGACCATGAGTTGGAACTGGACTCCAGATACCATTACTATGAAAAATGTTTATGCTTCTAAGCATGAAAACACTTCTAGACCAGATGTTACTACATTTCAATCATCACAGAAAGCAATAGCCTTTTAAGACATGAAACAGAACACTTTTCTCTACTAAATCCCTTAACCGTGTCATACATTTTAAAATTCTGTTATTTTTTTTACAAAATGTTTTCTACCCCTACACATTTTTAAGAGTTACAAGTAAAAAACTCTACAGACCTTTGATCTCTGAAATTTATCTCTTTTTCTTGATTTACAATAACACAAGAAGTAAAACTAATTGCACATAATCAGAGAAATGCACCAAGTTTTATCAATGCTGATCACTTACCTGAACTTAGGATTTTCCACTGTGACTACACCAACTTCTATTTCTGAAGGTTTGAAATCAATGGATAGTACAGTAGACAGGCATGTTATTGCTGTCTGAAAGATGACAAAACCTCCTATCATTAGAAAGAAAGCACTAAGGCTTTTTTTTTTTCTTAATAGACATAGCATCCTTCCTTCTGGTTTAAAGTTACTTCCTCTCACTTCAAAATCTCAGCTTAGAAATTCCAAATAGTTTCCCTTTTGCTACACAATACTGGAAAGTCCCTCTCCAGTCCTCTCCCTAAAAAGCCCTGTCTACAAAAAGCAAAGGGACATGTTTTCATAGCAGAAAAAGACACAAAAAACCCAAAATCTTTTATCATGCAAAGATACTGTTTGAAATACCTTCTAATATGAAGATTGTTCTAAATGTCACTACAAGTTAAGTCATATTGGTATCCCCAAAATCAAGCACTCTATTAACCAAACACCAGCTACAGTGGGAGTGCTACACTTACAGAATCTGCTTCAGTTAACATAAAGCAAAAAAAGCAGATTAGATGACCAGTCAAACAATTGCAGAATACCTTCAAATGATTTTCTGGTTGGAATAGCTGTATTTGCTCTGGCAGCAATACAGAACTGTAGGGAAAGACTAACTACATTTCTCTGCATTGCAAGCCTACATGGAGGATATTCATTAAAAATACTTTTAACAAATTTTCATTTCCTTCTGCTGGCCTACCTCTACTGTTTGTTCATATGTCCAGTCAAATTTCTTCTTTACTTTCTTTTCAAGAAAACTGGTTGACTCTGTCTGTTTAACTCCTGCAGCTGTGGCCTTGAATCCACAATAGTAACCTGCTGGATCACACTTGTATACCTGAGGGCCGTGTTCTTCATCAATACCAATCAAAATCATACCTTGAAGAGAAAATCTGTTAATTTATTTATTTCCCCAATTTTAGCAATTTAATTCAACTGAAGAACAGAATGGATACTCCTGTCTCTGAAAAAAATACATATGCACAGCAGCACATCTTTGAGAACCAGTCCCATACCTAGAGCTGTGACTTCCTTTTTATCTCTAATTTGCCATTTCTCACCAGCATCTCATTATCAGGTATACAACTCAGTTCAGTAGAAACTCTATTTCTGTCATTCCCAAAGAAGGTTACTTATTAAACATACAAACATTTTTGTCGTGCTCAGTGTGTAGAGAACCACAAAGTCAGGAAATACAAAACTTTTATCCTGATACAAAGTTTACCAAGCCACAGCTCACATCCTGTGTTATATGACACAAAAGTGTAAACAGTAGTTCTATTACCATATGCCTTTTACTAGAAAGCAACTTTGCAAACATGCTGAAACTAACGGAAATATTAACAGATCAAATTTAGATTTCTTGTTTGTAACCCTGAAAAACACGGCATTATATACCTTTTCCTCTTTAAATTAAAAAAAAAAAATCTGAAATGAAAAGTGGAAATAATAGGACATAACTGAATCTTTGAAGATCATCTAAGTGATGAAGCTGAGTAGTTTCCAAGTAACACAAACTGACCACATTACTGAAATGCATGTGTTCACCCTCACTTCTTGATGTACAGCTGCATTGTCCCAACATGCATATTAAAAAATAAGTCAAAAGCAATACTTGCAATAAAAACCAAAAACAAAACAAGGTTATAGTTTTCAATTATTTTCACTTTACACTTGTGCAACTTTTAACTAGTAATTAGAGCTGATAAACTTCTGAGCAGCTATTACTACAATAGTAAAAAGACCCCTCCTATTTTCAAAAAGGCTAAGGGAAGTTAAGAAAAATGCATTTTTATTCATGTACTTTAAAAAAGGAATTTCCAGTAATATCAAGGCATTGGAGATGCCAAGGGAAGAAAGAAACAATCCTTCCTGAAAATTACAAGCACACAAGCATAGGAAAATTGCCCCATCATTGTGGTGTAATTCTGAATGTTGCTTCTTTAGTGAGAAGTCTTAGTGCCTACTATGATTATGAGAAGTGATTCATCAGTTCTGAAACTATTCTCCTTCAAACAAAAAACAATACCAAAACTCAACCAATCAAAGAGAAACTCAGAATGTTTAATGAAAAAAGTAATTGAGGAAACCTGTTAAGGCTTTTACCTCAGTTCCTGAACAGCCTAACAGTATGGTTATAATTTGCTTACAGCCATACGTAAGAGAAAAAACAAGTCAGAACCAACCCCAGAACACAGAGATGACCAAGAACATCTACAAAAAATGACTCAACACACAACTTCTTTCTAAGCTGCATTTGCTGTTATAAAATAAATAATGTAGAAATATTTGCAAGGGAAATATTTTAGGCACTTTTTCCTCTACATTATAAATGATAGCTAAGCTAGGAGCAAAAATTATGTAAATCTGTCCTATACATACTACTTAGATAAAAAAGCAACAAAACCTGGACAAGGATAATTGCATTCTCCATTTCTCTCTTTTAACAGTGACAGTGGACACAGTGTATTAGGCTTGCACGGCAAGGTTTTGATAGTGAGGGATCTACAGGGCTGGCTTCTTTGAGAAGCTGCCAGAAGTTTTCCCTATGTCCGAAGGAGCCAAAGCCAGCTGGCTCCAAGACCAACCTTCTGCTGGGTGAGGCCAAGCCCATCCACAATGATGGTAGTGCCTCTGGGATAATGTATTTTTGAAAGAAAAAAAAAGAAGGAGGAAATTACTGACAGGTAAGAGAGGAGTGAGAACGTGAGAGGAACAGCTCCGCAGACACTGAGGCAAATGACAGAAGGAAGGAGCTGCCAGAGCTGAGGCTCCCCTGCAGCCTGTGGTGAAGACCATGGTAAGGCAGCTGTGCCCCTGCAGCCCATGGACATCCATGCAGCCCCTGAAGGAGCCCACTCTGGAGCACATGGATGCATGAAGGAGGCTGTAGCCCCACGTGTGCTGGGGCAGGCTCCTGACAGGACCAGTGGCGCTGTGGAGAAAGGAGCCCACACTGGAGCAGTCTGTTCCTGAAGGACTGCACCCCACATAAGGTGGGCTCCTTGCTGGAGCAGTTGGTGAAGAACTGCAACCTGTGGGAAGTTCCTGGAGGACTGTCTCCTGTGGGAGACACACTGGAGCAGGGGAAGTGTGGGAGGAGTCCTCCCCTGAAGAAAAAGTAGCAGCAGAAACAATGTACTATGGACTGACCACAGACCCCCTTTCCATCTCCCCGTGCCACTGTGGGAGAAGTAAAGAACGAGGAATAAACCTGTGAAGGAGGTAGAGGGAATGTTTTGAAGATCCAGTTTGACTACTCAGCATCCTATTTTTATTTGCTTGTTAATAAATTCAGTTAATTTCCCCAAGGTGAATCTGTTTTGCCCATGGTAGTAACTGATGAGTGATCCCTCCCTGACCTTATCTTGACCCATAAGCCTCTCATGGCATTTTTTCTCTTCTATGTCTTGCTGAGGAAGGGAGTGATGGAGAGAAAGGCTTTGGCAGACACTTGGCATCCATCCAGGGTCAAACCACCACACACAGACAAGGTTATAAAGAGCATCTCCTGCTCACAGACATCACTGCACAGTGCAAACGGACCAGGCCCCAAAAACTAAGGTGAAATAGTATCAGAGAAGCTAAATTATTTCTAATGCTGAGTCAATGGTAAAATCATGGCTCCAGTTCAAGACCTACAACACTGCTCCCTCATTCAGCTGTTCATCCCTCTTATTCCCCCATTTACCCACTCTGAAAATGGGCAAGAATTTCTTATATATGAATGCGCAGACTTAGACAAGAAACAGTAAAGATCATTTTCATACACTGTACTTACAGCAACCAAGGGGCCTCATTTCAGCATTCTGTGTATAGACCTGAGAAATATCTGCAATCCTTTTACACAGCATATCCACAGGGATGTCATATCCATACTTGTACTTCCAGTTAGCAGCCTCATAGCGGGCTCTCTGCACCTGGGATCTGCTATCAGCTAGACAAAAAGAACTGATATTAATTCCACTGAACATGTACCATGTTTATTTCTAGCACTGCCTGAGAATATAAATTCTAGGTCCAACTTTACATTGTCCTTAAATATACCCATTAGAGCTAGGTAAGTTTTCCAAAACCAGACTGGTGAATTAAATACCTGTCATTCCTGTCATCACACAACCAATATTTTCAGTAATCTTGAATAAATGAGTCACTGTGTTGGAATCCAGTAACTTGTCCTAAAGAGGAAACAGAAATAATGTATAGGAAACACTGTCCTTGAAGTAAAAAGCAAACAAACAAACAAACAAACAACAAACATTGAATCTTCGGTTTTTTACAGAAGAGCCCAAAAGGACCCATAACAGCTAAAATTGTCTTTCAGGGTTTCCAATTTTTATTGCTGTGAATAGCAATGAAGGAAGAAATTGGAGACTAGGGAAGATTAAAACCACAGATCTAGAGACTGAGAACAAGAACATGATCAACATCACAGTCCTCTTCCCTCTGAAGAAACTTTGAGAACATACAAAAGCTTGCTCTCTTATGGCACACTGCCCTTCAAACATAAAAGAATTTCCCCTTTTTCAACAGTACATCATCACTGAGCTGAAACACTCATGAAAACCTGTTCTACATGTTATTGGTGTAACATTTCCTCAGCAGAAATTAAAGAAATCAGTGAACTGGTTATGAACAACTCAGCCCTTACAAGCCAGAGCAATGAATGCACGCTCAATACAGCAGGGTCAACTTATATTTTACATTTATCCCTTCAACAACTACAGAGAAAACCAATATTGCAGTATTCAGTGAGGAAATGTACAGTTGAGCACTACATGGAGCTAGACCTTGTAATAAGCAGAATGATAATTAGATAGTCAGTTCAAATAGCAATTTCAGTGCTAATAAGTATAATATCAACACTGCTAAGTCTCACCCCAACTTTTTTTCTCCTCTCCTTCCAGACCTCCCCTCAAACACAGACTACTTACAGGTACTTTCTTCTGTGTGACAATTACTGCAGAATCTTTCCCACGAACAGCTACAGATGTAAGTCCGCCTTGGTTTATGGCCTTAAATGCATATTCTAGAAAAATATACAAATGTTAACAAAAAACTTGTGTCAGAGACACTAGTACCATTAACTCTGACACACCTTCCCCCAACACACGAATCTCACCAATTTATGGCCTTTTTAATACTTTAATACTTGTGCAACAAGTATCTTTGTGTCCTTAAGGTCTTTAGTACAATGTGTTTTGACTCTCTTCATAAAACTATTATCACTGCTTCCTTCAAATGTTCTAATTTGACTTTTTATTCAGTTCAAGCTTAACAGCAACAGTATTAGTTTTAGAACAAAAAGGCTGTTCTGAACTTGATCAAAATTGTCCAACCTTAATCTACAGTAACCATAAATTTTTACAGAACAATTTTTGACATGGATTTTAGTATTTTAAAGGATATAAGCTTCTGGTTTTTTAGTAATTTTTTACTGATATAGATGAAAACTGATAGGATGACACAGGAGGCACAGGAGACAGGTTTTAACATTACAATCATATTTTCTGACATGACATTCAAACACTGCAATGCTTTTCTTCACTTTTTATAGTGAAAGCTATACAGATGCCAATTAAACAATGCTATTCATGTGAGTACAATGGATTAAAAAACACTAAAGTAACAGTCACTAAATGATCCATGAAATTAATTTCTTCTGATTAATGGTTCCAAAAGCCATTTCGACTTCAACAACAACTTCAAAAACTGTTTATCTGGCAATATTGAAAAACATTCAGGAATTCCTAATAACTGGCTGAGTAGCAAGTTTCAGAGAGCAGCTAGATGTAGGTAAGTTTATTTGTTAACTATGCATGTGAACCCAGAATTTAGAACATGTTTACAAACAGCATAGTAAATTGCTAAGACTATCTTAAAATAATGGAAGCAAGAAACTTGGCTATTTTAAAAGCTGCAGTCTGATCTATAGAAGAGATTACACAACAGAAGAGTAATAATCTGAAGATGAAAAAAAAATCAAATCTTGTATATTAATGTTCAATTTGCTGAGTCAGTGTTAGGGAAGAGCTCATTGTTGTGTATTTATGGCACTGTATTTACTACTCTCAGACATCAGAGCATTTACTGGTTACCCAAATGTGCCATAAAGGACGTTCCCCCTTTCCCTCCTCTCTCTGGAATGATCAGTGCCAGTCTGCAGCGGAGCACAAAACCCAGTAAGACATGGGCCAGCACTGCCTGCAAACTGGTCATGCTTGAAGCCCCAAGCACAGGCTTTGCAACACTTGTCTATTTATCTGTACAACCACCTGAAGGAAGAGTGTAAAGCAGAGGGACAAAGCCAGCCGTTTTTTCAGTGATGCCCAGTGACAGGACGGAATCAGAGGTGACTGGAACAAAGCGAAACAGGAGGGTCCACCTACATGTACACCTGAAAACATGTTTTACTGTGATGATGACTGAGCACTGGAACAGATTGCCTGTACTACTTACAGCCTACTTGGAAACACTTCTGGGCATCCAGCTCTAGGTGGGCCTCCCTGGGCAGGGGATTGGGGCCAGATAGTCTCCAGAGGTCCCGCCCAATCTCAGCCATTCTGTGGTTCTGTGACACTTAGGTGGCAGCAGGAATAGGTGCCCTCACAAACTAGTTTTGCTGACAACTACCACTGATCAGGCTCACTAAACTACAGCCCCTTCTGGTGCTATTACCACCTCCATTGCTCAGTTTACAAGGAAACATGCCAAAAGGTGAAGTGGCTCTTACAATGTAACAAATCTAAGTTGCTAGTGCTATTTTAAATCTGTTTATTGCTATGTAAGTATTTCAGCAGCACTGCAGACATTCTCTCTGAAAACAGCAGCCCCTTGCTGTTCCCTGAACACATCGCAACAGCCAGAAATTTTACTGTAGTAATTTTCTTTGTTTCCCAAAACTCCACTTAGAAGAAACACCACCTTTGAAGATTGAAACTAATAGGTAGTATGGGAACACTGATGCTCTGAGGGATTTTAACCACAGTAATGTGAAATACTGTTAAGTTTCCTAATATGAGATCACTTCAAAGGCACGTGAGTTTTCTGAGCTCTGGAAGCAGAAGACAGACCAAAGACAAAGTATAGGTATTTCAGTCCAGTATCACTACACTGGAAATCTGTTTCCATACTGCCAAATTCCAGAAAAAACTCAAGTTTTAAGGCAGTCCTAAAGCAACACATGTCCATGCTCATCCTTGACAGCCCCTAGCTAATCCTAATCCAGCAGAGAGACAAAGATAAAACAAAACCACTTAGATGTAGACATTTGATTACAAGCAAACATGAGACTTCTGCCCATGCTGTGGCTAGATGCTGGCAAACAGAAATACCCATGTAGCACCATGCCTGAGTCACTAGCCTGGCTGTGAGTAAAGTGAGCTCATTCTTGTTTGAAGTTAACTATGCTCATCTATTTTTCTTCCTATAGCACATAGGTATTTAAAATAGCTTTAAGACAGCTTCAGGCTGTGCGCAGAAGCTTTCAAATACACATGCAGATACTTGTTTCTAAGACACTGTTAAAAGGCATGGAGGTACTACACATTTCTCATACATTAACCTAATGGCTAAATATACCTGGGAGGCAGAAAACTGAGGCTCAGTTTTCTTTCTGCTACAGAACACAGAAACCATTCCCAACAAGTAGTACTGTGACAGAGACAGTGAAAAGTGATGCAGACCAACCAGCCTGTTTTAATGGCAGCGGAAGGTTGGAGCCCAGGACTCCTCTGTCACAGAACCACTGAAAACCTTTCTGAGGAAGCACTGCTCCTACCATCCTTGTGTACAAGGGATAATAAGCATTATACATGCTCCAGCAACCATATATAGGTATCCAGTACAGGTAACTTTCTGTCTATGTACAGACATCTACACACAGGCACCTTCCTAATTTTTCCTTGCAAAAAAGACTGCTCAAGACTGGGCCACCTGTCCACGAGGCCTAATCCAATCCAATCTTCTTCCTGAGAAAAACTCAAGGGCAGTCACAAAAAAATTATATGGGTTGCAGGCAACTCATGCAATCTGACCCAGCAAGCTCCTTTCCTGGAGAACAGATGGATTTATAGGCATAACATGCAGTGGCTGTGCAGTGAAGCCATTGCAGCTGGGGAAGGCAGCATCAGGATGATTCTGCAAAACAGTTCATCTGTCCCTGCTGTGAGGATCCTTCAGGAGCACTGTCAGACTACAGTCCTGCCAGACTGTGAGCTGACTGTATCCTACACAAGGGGCACCAGGATGCACTTCTGTACAATCTGGTGCACTGCAAGAAACAGGAATAACAGAATCTGTGGCCTACAGAAGAAGCTGAAGCTTGGCTTCAGATTGTTCCAAGTAACCTGAAAACAAAGGATGCTATCTCAGGCCACAGCGCACGGAACACGCGGCATTCAGGTGTAACAATGCACATGAGTTACATCCAAGAAGTCACTTTGTCACTCTGGCATGCAGGGTTTGAGGCAGTTTAAATCCCATTTCAAACAGCTATCATAGTTCTCACATCCCAAAACGCAGTGCTCCGAGGCTTGGCAAGATTCACTTAAAGAAACACTTAAGGAAGACTAAACAGCCTCTGGATAGCTGCAAGTTTGGTCTCCAAGCGTCTAAAATCGCGCACGGAGGACTCCGAGGAGGCCCCTCCCGGTGGCAGGAGACACTCGAGAGCCCACCCTGGCTCTAAGTTTTCCTTAGCTCATGCGAGCATCCCTTCCCCGGGTCCCCACGCCGGCACGGCCGGGACCGCCGCCGCTCCACGCTCGCACCAGGCTTTCCCCCACACACCGCGGGACCAGGCCAGGGGGGAGCCGGCACCCCCGAGCCACGAGAGGGGCCGCGTCTCTCCTCTCCGCACAGGCTGTCGGGCTCGGCAGAGTTTTCGTGAGCCGGCCGCAGCCCCGCTCAGCGGGGAGCGGCTGCGGCGGCGCAGGCAGGCCGGGCCCGTGACGGGGCAATTCGGCGGCGGCCCCGAGGGCCCGGACACGCACCGACTTGGTAGAGGCGGCCCTCGGGCGAGAAGATGGTGATGTGCCGGTCGAAGCCGGCGCTGGAGCCACGGGACATGGCGGGAGCGGCGCGGGAGCGGCGCGCGGCCGGGGGGAGCTGTCCGCGTGCAGGGCCCGCCGCAGCCGCAGGCACCGCCGGAGCGCTTCCGGGTCACGCGCCCGCGCCGCGCAGGCGCAAAGGGGAGCGGCGCTCCCGCAGCGTCACGGTCCGGCGGCGGCGCTGCGCATGGCCGGGCCACACGGCACCGGCACACCACGGCACCGGCACACCACGGCACCGGCACACCACGGCACCGGCACACCACGGCACCGGCACACCACGGCACCGGCACACCACGGCACCGGCACACCACGGCACCGGCACACCACGGCACCGGCACACCACGGCACCGGCACACCACGGCACCGGCACACCACGGCACCGGCACACCACGGCACCGGCACACCACGGCACCGGCACACCACGGCATCGGCACACCACGGCACCGGCACACCACGGCATCGGCACACCACGGCATCGGCACACCACGGCACCGGCACACGGCACCGCCGCAGTTCTGGCAGCGGCCACCGCCGTGGAGCTCGGCGAGCCCTTCTCCTTCGCGGAAACCTGAAAGCCCCGCCGGACGTGCCTGAGGGAATGCGCACGGAAGCAGCAGGAAACGGAATAAAAGCATCATCGCGGCATTCATCAATACTGGATAAAAGTACCACCAGTCAGCGGGGAAAACAAAACCCTTCCTAAAATTCCAAACTAAGTATTTCCACGTGTCCTCTTCAATGGGAATAATTTTAAAGCAAGTACTTAAAAAAACATGTTTAAAGTATTCATAGGTAATTGTCGCCGCAGCTGCGTTATAATGCGATGTTTAAAAGACTTTTTAGCGGCGTCACAAGTTTAAACTCGTGAATATATGTCCTTTTTGCTTTTCAACATATTGGAATTCCCCTATTCTTTGTGGGAAGACATTTTTTAAAAGCTGGTCATTAGAAGAGTTGGAAAGGCTGCGTTCTGGTATCCACACCTCTGTTTTAAAATTACTAGGTGAGGTTATTTCTTGTTGAAATAGCAGAATAAAGGCGGACTTTGTGTATGCCACGCATTAAAAGTCTGCATTCTCAAATTTGTCAAAATACTTCTTGCTTATTAACAGTATGGGAGAATAATGTCCTGCTGTGTATTTATTACAAGACTCAGAGTTTGTCCCTTTCATTACCGAAGGACTTTGTGGGCAGACATGAAATGTTTAAAGGGGTGATGCAAGCACTGGAACACAGAGAACACGAACATGTTCAACTGTGTCTGCTGGGTCAGAACAGAGCCAGTCTTATCCAATGCTCTGTCTCCAAATGTGGCCAGAAGGGGGATATCCAAGGAATTAAGACTAGAGAGAGCCTTTCATGATACATCCCCTGAATCGTCTCCCAGTCTCCAACCACCTGGAGGGACTTCCCAAGGCAGGGATAATGTCTGGTTATGCAGTAACTCTTGCTGGTTCCCTTTAATGAAACTTGCTAGTCTCCCGTTGAACCCGGGTGAACTTCTTGAATCCACAACATGCCATGGCAAAGAGTTGGTCAGCATAACAGCATGTTGTGTGCTTTTGTCTGAAACCTCACCTTTCATCTGAACCTTCTATCTGCCAGTACCATTTGATGCTTTTGTGCTGACTGCCACTGCACTGTGGATCCCTAGGCACTCCTTCCAGAACACTCGTGATTCTTATGACCTCTATGTTTCTTAAGACCAGTTTCTCCAAGATGATGATCTGTGCCTTTACAGTTCTTCCATCCTACAGAGCTCTTTCATTCTCTAGAATGGCTTTTTTCTCCCAAGGAAAAGGTGATGAGAAAATCTAAGTAAATATCAAGCCTGTTCAGCCTGATAGCCAAACAGTAACTAAGAAAATCTTTAAGGTTTGAATCAAAGATCCAGTATTTGAATTAGATAGAGTAATAGTTGCTCAATACCATGGATATGATGGAGTAGAAGTTATGCTATTTTCAGCATATCACTTCCAGAGTACAGCATTGTTTCAGAAGAGCAATCATACTTTTGGCTTAATGTTAAATCCCTTCTGATGAGGATGAGTATGGAGTCCAATTCTGTGTTGCAGGATCCTGAGGAAAGCTGTTTTCACAATCATCTTTTTAACATAGTAAGCAGTAAGTGGGAGACCTTGGAGGTGATAAATGCTGGAGTGCAGGCTCTCAGTTCATCTTTCTCAACTCTGTCTTGTTAGTGTGTCTCCATTTCCATGGCACACAGCAAGCTAAGGGCACATTCCTTCTGATTCCCATTCTCACTCAGTGTAATAGCAAATGGCAGTCAGTGTCTCTTTGGGGGTACCAATTGCTATACTGTTTGGAAAAGTTGTCTTTCTGGCATTCAGCATGAAACACATCTGTGTAATAAATCACCTTGAATTTTTACTGTACCACGATATAAACAACAGTAGATGTCAAATAGATCAGCTATTTGTTATTTGCTTTGGTTTAGCTCTCACATTTATTTTTATTGCCAGTGAAACCCTCAGAATTCCTTTTAGATACTTGGAAGCAAATCCTCATATTCATTGTTATTTTGAAATACTGTATTTCAGTATTGAGGACTTAGAGCAACACAAAAGAAATCTTATTTCAAAGATGTCTTAAATAAAATTCAAATTAACCTCAGAACTGAGCCTCTGGATACCATATGAATCTATGTAGCAGGTAGTATACACCAGAAAAAGTCTGTAGGTTCATCACTAATGTTTCCCCTTTGGTTCCACAGAGGCCATTAATTCCCTGTAAGGATCTGCAGAGAAGTGTATTAGCAGCAAACATAGAAAAAAGAAGTCACAAATCTGACACCAATGTTGTAATACCTTCCAGCTGCAAATTCCATATTCTGTTCCATCATTCCCTAAATATGCTTGTATATTTAATGTATATTAGTGTATTAGGAAGCAGTATTATTTAGAAGGCATTACCTAAGAACAGTTTTTGACGTGAAACCAAATTGATTGATTAGGGATATGTCCTGAGCAAAAAGGAAGTTTATATGTGGATATTATGCATGCCTGTTAATGACCAGGGTGAGGTAAAATACAAACTTTAACAGATGAACATGTCTGGCAATGAAATGGGTACCCTGAAGGTGCAATTTCTGCTCAGCTAGGGCTGACCTAAGGTAGAGGTGCTGCAGGGACCCACCTTCTGCAGCCTGACATTTGAACTCCACTCCCACACAGGTACCAATACTTATGCAATGGTGCTAGATGAGTGCAACAATGCCAATTCTGACCTAGCCAAAACCAAGTTTTTAAGAGCCAGCTCTGCATTGTTTTGGGCTGCATGACCATCAGAGATAGTACCAAAGGAAGACTGTAACAGCACTGATTCACACCAGCTTATGCCATGCAGAACTTCATACAGAGGGTGTGGGAGCCTCGCAAAGAACAGCAGCTGCTAACTAAGCAGTCCTGCACAGGAGCAGACACCTAATTTAAAAGCGTATTTCCACTTTCAAGGAGATGTCGCAGTTCTCTGACTTAAACAATTATAAAAGCAATCTTCTGACAAATTAGAAGTATTGAGGAATGAGAGAAGTAGATCCAATCTCTCTGCTTTCCCTGCTGGCCTCCATAGGAGTTGTCATGTTGTGTCAGGTAGAAAGTTAGTAGAAAACACTACTAACAATATGATGAATTTAAAGCCAAGGTTTTATGTTACCTTAAGAGGTACCTAGCTTCTCTACACTTTCTGCACAGTACCTGAAGGACATGACTGTATGTAAATCACACCTGATGGTTTACAAACTGATACAAGAACTAGAATATGTATCAGGACTGTCCTGGAGAAAAAATAGCAGGAACATGCTTGAATGCTGAGTCCTGAGGGAGTTTGCCATGGGGCCCTGAAAGAACTCAGAACTGCAAGTTCTATACAAAAAGATTTTCATGTTTCATCTCAGTTTCAAACAGGATTTTTGTACGAGACAAATGTGACAAGTATAGGATAATTCATCTGATATTTATGTGGCATTTCTATGTTTTGGGGGGAGAAATGTTTGCATTAAAATTTTAAGTGCAATAAACAAACACATTTATCACACACACACACAAATAACTTAAAACACTTTTTCTGTAATTAATACCATTTTTTTTTCTTTATAACTCCGGATAGATTTTATAGAAATGTACAAGAATCAATTTTGTCCTATTATTGTCTTTAAGAATTTCTGTCTATCCATTTTCATTTAAAAAGTCCATGCACTTCCATCAGCAAACTATTGTAGTGATGCCAAATCCTGTCAGAAAGGGCAAATTTAGGAGTGTGAAAGAGCCACAAAACATTCCACTGGTTGTTTCCTTATTCTTCCAAACAAATGATTGCTATGTGTTCTTCTAACCAATCTCTTGCATTCTATGAGATCAAACAAATTCTAATTACAGTGAGGAAGTCTTAGTTCTGTGTGTGTCTGGAAAATGGTAAATGTACCATTTGTCCCCCTTAGCTCCACTGAATAGAGGCAGACATTGTGCAACACTCTTGCACAAGGTCAGCACCACAAACTCTGAAGGTACTTTGCAAGTCTTGCTTAATTTCTTCAACGCACAGTTTATATATTTCAGTGTAGATGAAAAGCTTGAGAAAAAATAAAAGATAAAAATGCCCAAACAATAATTCCAACAGGAAAAATCAAGTTTTAATTCAAATTATGAAAACTGCCAGTAAAAATGGAAATAATGGACCTAATTCACCTTCACTGGACCACCACTGATGTTAAGAGATGTATGCAGGAATGATTTTGGCAAAAGCAGTCACTCAGTTTTCTTCAGTTACACAACTCACACATTAATCCCATAATTGTCCTGCTGAGTTCTCCTAGCCAGCAACAGTGATTACAAGAAAGGCAGCTTCAGCTTGTCCAGTTACATTCTTCATAATTTCTGTTGAATGCAGAGCCATTTTCTTGGTACTTGATATGAATATTTTTCCTCATAAACATCTTTATAGGGAATATGCCATGTATCACCTGTAGTCTGTACCACACAGTCGTAATGTAAAGCAGGCTGTTGAGAAAAAACAGAGGAAAAACTTTTTTTTTTTAGACTATATACAACATATTACTAAAATATCAATTACAGGTAGTTAC